ACCTCTTAATATATTCTTACTGACTCTCAATATGTAGAGAGAGTCTTCTTACACATTGAGAATGCTGCTCTGAGCTCTGAAAGGGCTGATTCTGTTATTACACACTTATTAGAGGTAATGGCTAATAGTTGTTGAGATGTAATAGCACTTTAAAGGAAATGCTCTATAAACAGGCAGGGGAACCAAGAACCCCACTCCCAGACACATTTCGTAATGCCTTACTAACCTTCCTGATGATACAGAATTAAGTTTGTTATTTATTCATTTATAAGAAATAATGAGGAATTGGACTATAGTATGTAAGTATGTATATATCACATCAGATCCCATACAGGTCTGCCAGGTACTCTAGGACAAGGCAATGATAAAATTGATTGATTATTAATAGGAACTGAGCGGAGGCCTTGGAATTTCATGAAAAAAAAAAAAAAAACCCATCATGTGAATAGCAAATGTTTAAAAAAGTTTCCTATCACTTGGAAACAAGATAAGGTAATAATTTAAAAATGTTCTACTTGTTCCTTCTATAACCAACTCCTTTCCCAGCAGATAGTAACCCTAAAGGTATACATAGAAATGAAATTCAGCAAATAGATGTGTTTAAATTTGCAGAATTTGAAATGAAAATATGTGAGCCATACAATAGACACATTTTAGGATTTCATGGGGCAACTGCTCTGAGCTCTGAAAGGACTGATTCTCTTATTACACACTTATTAGAGATAATGGCTAATAGTTGTTGAGATGTAATAGCACTTTAAAGGAAATGCTCTATAAACAGGCAGGGGAACCAAGAACCCGACCCACAAACACATTGCATAATGCCTTACTAACCATAAACTTTCTTAATGCTAATGAGCAAAAAAACAGCCACAGAAAGAAATACATTGGACAATAGAAAAATACTTCTGAGCTAAATCAGCAGGTGTGTTTCATGGAAGTATTGACCTCAGAATGGAAACCAGGATATGTGCTATGTTGGGGAAGGTGTTTTGCCTTTGTTTCTACAGGAGAAGAAAAGCTGTGGATACCATCAAAGCTGATCAAGATACTATTTGAACTGGAGAAACCTCTTGATGAGGATACATGACTGGCTATTCGCCAAGGTAAATCCCACACTTTTATGGGGACCTCACAAAGGTGTCCTGTTCTTGTCTTTATAGGAAAACAGAAAACACCCATCTTCAAGAAGCCAAAAACTATTGGACATGTAGATACCTCCAAAAGAAAGGATAGCTATCCAGACAAAATCATCAAAGAAGAATCTGACTTATGGTGCCATTATCTATTTAGGGTAAAAAATCTCTCTACCTGAATGCCTATATCCCCTTACTTCCCAGTACACTAGTAGTCCCAATTCATATAAATCCACTGCTGGCTTTGGATTTGAATTGGGCTTTCCTTCTCTAAATTCAAGCAAGTATGTTGGTAAAATAAAATTAAGAGTTTCTATCTCATTTCAAAAGGCCAATTGGTATAAAGACAGAAGAAAATAAAATCAAGGGAATATCATTGTCAAAACTCTGTTATCTCTCTAAAATCCTAATTTCCCTCATACTTATTTCCATCCTTATTTTTACCTTTCCCAATATATATACCTATAAAAGTTAAACTTTCTGTGTTGGTATTAATGTTCAATATTAATATCTTCCATATTAAATAATAAAATTTCCTTATAGCAATCATTGAAATTTCTGTAAAGAAGATGAGACCCCACTTTATAGATTCCACTTGATTCAACTTGATGTCTTTGAACTAGTAAACAGTACTCTAGGACTGGTTTGGGACTACACTGCTGTAGATTTTTCCAGATTATCTAGCTGATATGGTACACCTTCTTTTAACACTATGGCCAGAGCTTTAGATAAGAACTTCAGGCAAGCATCACCTGCCACTCAGAGTCTAGCTACAAATGTTACACCTAATACTCTAGAGAATTAGCCATTGGTTTAGATTCTTTTTTTTTTTTTTTTCCTACAGGATCCCATAGAGTCACCACTGCCCCATCACAGCAGGAAGTAATTTTAAGAAACAACTCTCCCCTTCCCTACTGTTGGCTTAAAGGATATGTTTTTCATCTCTAAGAAAAGGATAATTATCAATTTTTTAGGCTTGGATTTAAGTTGTGTAGGATTGGGTCTGGATTGTGATGGTCAGACTCAGGTATCTCTTTTTGAAAAGTTTAAGGGCAGGGTATGGTTGGGATGGGAAATAGGTGGATTAACATATCTTCTTCTGAACTATTTTCTCAATGTTTACCTATAGACAACTGAAACTTAAGTGCAATTAACCTTGTATTCTTGCCTTGGATAATTTGCATATTATATTTATCATACTTTGTAGGGTCTTCATTCTGTTTAGGATGTTTTGCAAACACATGAAACTATCTTTATCATAGTGTATGTACATATGCTTCTACATATTCTGAAGGTAGTTTGTATATTGATACAATTTATGATATTTTATCATGCTGCACTTTACAGTTCCACTGTATATATACATATGAGAGTGAGAGACAGAGAGAGACAGAGAGAGAGAGAGAGAGAGAGAGATACCTTTTTTTAATTCATTGCCCTTACTAAATTATTTTGGGAAGCTTCAGCCATTGAACAATTATGTTTCTGAGAATTACAGATTATAGTTACCCATGCTTGTTATACCTATGATGTTAGTCAGACATAGATATAGATATTCAAACACTTCAAAGATTTGCACAATATGGCATTATAATGTTTTAATAATTAATACTCCATTGACATGAGACACAATTGCTCCTGACAGTACCAAGCTATTCCTGAGAGTATGATGGGCACTCCTTGGCTACTGGTCTCTTGAGCAAAGAACTGCCTCCACTTCTACCACTGATCTTGGACATAGTGTCCTAACTGTGCTACTAGGAAATAACTTAAAGAACCTTGCCAAGTCCCTGCTTCTGAGACTGTCCATCTTATACTTTAGGCCTTAGCCAAAGTTAGTCACTCCAGTGTTGCTGTGAGACCTTGGGTGACTGTCCAGGTAGGCTTCCATTTCTGTCTTCACTTGCACCTTAAGGAAGTCGAATTTTCACACTTCCTGCCTACCCTAGTAATGTTATTTTTCTTCTCAGGTCTTTGATCAGATTGAAGACTACACAGTCATAGCTATATCCTCTCTTATCTTAGACAAGACTTTCCAGGTTAGGACTGTTAACGGGATAATCTTTGTCATCCTGATACTGAACATGTATTATGTGTCTATAGCACAATGCTGCTCTTGCTGGTAGTAGGTTTTAGTTTGTGTATGTTTACTTTTCCTTTTCCTGGAATATACTTGACATTTGTTATCATTGGATATAGTTTTTGAATCAGGCTTAAAACCTTCTTCTTCAGACTAAAAGGGGAATTCTAGTGGCATCTAGCCTTGCTACTGTATTTATGCTAGTGGACATACCCCTTTGAGTGGAAGGCAGGGAGGTGTGATGTTGTCTCTCTTAGGTCATGGATCAGATCGTAAGGGCAGAGTCTGCATCTCCTGAAGTAGAAATGCTGCAGTAGTTCTTTATTATTATCTGTGTAAGTTGTTCCCCAATAAAACAACCATTTATTATTTATCTTGGGTCTAGTAAACTCATTATCACTGCCTTCAAAAGCTATTTACTTTTATGGTGGTAAAATATCTAAATAGATTTTTTTTGTACCAGTCACTAGGTATAAATATGTTTGAAAAGCATATGTTTAGGCCCATGGAAAAAGGTCTCTTCCTTGATAGGTGGTTTGGTCCATATCCAAATACCCAGTAGCCTCATTTGCCTAAGTACCAATATCACAATGGAGGCAATGCTCCATCTCCAGAAGATCCTCAAGACCATACTTTCAATGAGCAATACTACCCTTGCCTCTGTTTCCTAAAATGCTCCTGTGTTCAAGGTCAGGATGCAATAAATACAGGAGTGCAGAAAATTTAATATTATTAAACCACTGCTTTGCTCCTGCCTCTCCTTATCTTGCAAGGAAAGTGCCAAAACTCAAATAAGGCTGAGAATGTTCAGGATCCTGATTCAATCATCTTCTACGTGTCTGTCTATATTATAAGTTGCAATATAGATGAACTTTATCCAAATCCCAGATGAGACGTCAGAGCAGAGCCAAGAAGGACATTGGCTAGAACTTCATACTCTGTTCTGGTTGTGATCATGAGTAAATATGGGTAATAAACTTCCACATACAAGGGAAGAAAGAAAGGTCTATGGGAAAGCAGAAGTATAGAGAAGAAAAGACAACTAAGAGGTATCTCCACTTTTCAGTGGTAGAGAAGCAAATTTCTAATTAATCTCATGAAGATCCAGAAGGTATAGCAGATAGCACCTTTAGCATAACATAAAGGATTTTTGAAAGTCAGAGGTACACAGAAAAGGGGCACATCAACCTGGGGAAGTATTTGTATGATATCCAAGTTGCCATAGCAAACTAAAACCAACTGTAACAGAAATTCATTTTGCCACAGTTCTAAGAGACAGAAGTCTGAATATGTGAGGTCAAGTTCCTGAGTTAGGTACTTTCACAGTCTTTTTTCTGAATGTATCTGTCCTAGTCTTATATTTTTACCACTAGTAATATTGGGTCCACCACAGTATGCTACTTTAATTTAATCTTCTCTTTTTCAAACTTTATCTACAAATAGTCTTATTTCAACGTACTAAGTATTAGGACTTTGAATAGAAATTTTAGGTGGGATGTAGTACAGGTCATAACATAATCTGCCAAAAGGAATATAGAAAAGAGTTGGAGAGTGTGGGGTATCAGAAACTGAAGTATCTAATGTAGGATGTCCTTGGAGGCTCCTACAGTTCTGAAGCTATGCTAAACCCCTGCTATTAAACATTTTAAATGTGATATTCTTCCTCCTATGTTGGACAAAGGTTAGATTTTCATGGTATGCTCTTATATAGCCTTCTCCAGGTCAACATGCAGGTGGGCAGGGAAACACAAAGCCAGGAGAGTGCAAGGAAAGACTGTTCTTACCTGTGAAAGAGGACTGACTTGACCAGGGTGACAACATCCCTGCTGGCGTTGTATCCTGCACAGACAATGGCCACGTGGATGGTCTGAGAGAAAAGGAACAGAAAATGAACTATACAGAAAGAAGCAGGCCTTCCTGTCTTTTAGGTCCACAGGAGAGAAAAATAATCCTGATTTCTTGTTGGTATCAGTGTAAACAAAGGGCACTGCCTACAGCCATGGAGAATAACTTGAGATGGTTGTCTTAAAATCTTTTTAATTGGGTTATGAGGCTATTATCATTTGGAGGCCATTGAGACTCTTTTCAAATACATTTTAGAGATGGTTACAATGATTATTGGTTCAAATAGGTAAACAGTAAGTCCCAGGAGACAATGACAACTGGCAAAAGAGAATAAAATGTGCCTACATGGACCAACAGTGAGATCTTTCAAACTGACAAGTTATGGTTCAGAGTATGAGCTGCTCTTCTGAAGTGGCTTAGAGTGGTAAAGTCAATCTGAGAGCAGGCCAAAGGAACCAAGTAGTAGCTCGGGGCTCCATCTGGGATACCATTCTAGGAATTAGAGGGCAGAATTGAGATGGGCATTACCAGTCATCTCATTTAAACTTTTGGAAACATTAACCACAAACATGAATTTAGACCCTGCCTTTAACACCAGGTGGCTCTGGGAAAGCTTAAGGCCTAGCCAATCACTGCAGCATAAGGCATGATTATCAGTTATGCTTGATGGCTATGCTAAAATAAGTGACTAAAGCAACTTCCATTAGAAAAGATATGTTTTTGGCTCATGGCTTAAGTAGAGAGAACATGAAGCTGATTGCGTGTATCTTGGATTATCAGAAAGCATTTGTCTGATCTCCTTTTCAACTTGTATTCATTCAGCTTGAACACCTAATCCATGGAGGGACTCGACCCACATTACAGTTAAGTCTTCCCTTCTTAGTCATTTCTCTCTAAAAATGAACTCAAAGATACACCCAGAGATGTACTTCATAGTGACTCTAATTCTAGCCAAATAAAAGATGGAGATTAACTAACAGAAATCCATGTGCCAACCTGACACCTAAACACACTCTTCATTTTTAAACCATAAAATTCAACCTCTGGCCCTCAAGAGGTCACAGCCATGTAAAAATGCAAAATGGATTTATTTCATCAATAAAACTGCTGTAAGTCATAACACTTTCAATATTTTTAAGAGTGTGGACTAAAGCCTCTTCTGAGAATCAAGTATTTATGAAATCAGAAAATTACTCAGACCCAGCTAATATAAAATGGCATAGAAAACATTCTCATTTGAAAAGGGAGCAATGAAAGAAACCCCCAAACAAACTAGAATACAGCAAGAATGAAATCAAGAAGAGGAAATAACAAAGGCTGAAGTTATTTGTCCAGCAACTAGTACTTAAGATGACATTACTAAGGTACAATATGTTTGGAAGCTCCATTGTTCCAGGAGAGTTCCTTATGGCAACTGTAGCTTCCCTTTTAAACTATCTCTACTTCATACCTAGAGCTTTTCTTGAGGGTATTATCTCTGGTTGGTGGCATTGCCTAATATCCTAGGATCTGTAACACTAAATAGTTTGAACTTCACAGATGCATATCAAGCCCTATTGGGCATTCCATATAAAAATCTAACCCAGCAACATATTACCTCAATTAAGTGGTTTTCTGGAGCCTTCATGCAAGTCCTCATGACTCATTATTGAATTCTGCAGGTATAGTGCTGCTCTATAACTGGATTACAAGTGACAAAAATATCACTTTATACTCTTAAAGCTGTCAGTCAGGCTGGAAATTCAGGTTGGCTCTTTCCTAAGTTTAATAAGTTTTGTTTTGTTTAAAATTAATTTTAAATGGGGTGAGGGTGAGGAGAGAGGGGAGGGGGAGAGAGGGGAAGAAATGGGGGGAGGAAGGAAGGGAGGGAAAGATTGAGCCAAACACTTGAGTGCTCCCTGCAAGCTAGTTCCCTGCTTTGGGCTGGTTTTCACAGGTCTCTACCCTGTCACCAACTTCCTTTGCATCTGCTCCTATACAGACATTGTCTTCTATTTTTGTCATGTTTTAACCAAGACCAATAACGAATACTCTAGTTTAGGAAACTTTAATAAACCATTATGATCTGTTAAAGAATGCAATTGGTCCCTCCTCTTGAAGAACGGCCTTCCTTCAGTTAAAACACATCTTTTAAAAGCAATTTTCAGCAATTCTGTCCTATAAGCATTGCTGAAGGATGATCCTGCTGCCACCTAACCCATAAATTGAAGAATGGGTTCTTGACAGTTGTGTTAAGTCTTTTTCACTGTTGCTATAATAATATAACCTAACAAATACAATTAAAGGAAGAATGGGTTTATTTGGCTCATAAGTCCAAGTTAATATTCATCACTGGAGGGATGTCAAGATGGCAGGAATTGGATAGAACATTATATCAAAAGTCAAGAGCATAGAGAGAGCAATACATGCACACTAGTTCTCTGGCTTTCTCTATACTCAAACTTCCCAGAATAGCAAGCAAAGGAAATGGTGCTGCCTACAGTGTGCAGGCCTTCTTTCACCATCCACAAATCAGTACAATCACTCACAAACATGTTCAAAGGTCTTTCACAGATGATTCTGGATTGTATAAAATTTTAAATTAAAGAAGCTCTTCTGAAAGCCCATGCTATCACATTACAGCTCCTCATAACTTCCCACTATCTTGGGCAGCTCCTTCTAGATGCTCCTCTTCTAAACTGTTCACTCCACTAGACACTTTGTTCAATGACTCCTGGCTAACAGGAATTCTTCATCACCACATTTAGTATTACTATGAGAACTAAATCCATCAAACACAAATCATAAACTCTTCATCAGTCTTAGTCCATTCCCATAACCTCTCTGATCCCAATAACCTTCATGTACTCGCTAACCACTCCTGCCACCCCAGTGCTAGAAGCTTCATCAGAATATCACTATCTCAGAAAGTCTATTGTCATGTGCTTGCTGCTTATACAGGGTTTTTTTTTTTTTTAAACTTTCTTATTTATTCTTTGTGTCGTTCATATCAGGCATCTGGATCCCATTCATTTCCCCATCCCTTTATAGCTACCTTCTGCCCTTGCAACCTCTCCCTAAAAAATGAAAGATACAAAAGAATAGGAAAAAAATCTTGTCATAGGAGTTGTAGTGTCATACAGCAAGTCATGCAGCAAACCCTTTTATTTATATTATCTTTATTTGCAAGTGCTCATTGTGAAATGTCACTCGTCTAGTTTGATGAGTTTCTGCTATGCTATTGATGCTGGGCCATCACTGCAACTCCTCTTGGACATGCTGCTATTGTCTGTGTCATGGAAATCCTACACCTTTGAGTCTGAAGGATCAGCCCTTCACATGCTCCAGAACACCACAAATGGATAGATATTAGGGTGAGCCAATTCATAACTCTGGATCTGGGCCTGGGTACTTGCAGGGTTGGTCAACTTGCAAGCTCTCCCTTGTCCTTACCACCAAGGTGGGCTCTCCAGCATCGCCCTGGTAAGTTTCCCCATTGTTCCTTCACTTACTCAGGGTTGGCTATCCCACACACCATCAGGGCCAGCTACACTATATTGCCCACCTATAAATACTTTTATGTCAACTTGACATAAGCTAGAATCCTTGGAAGGGGCACCTCACTCATTCAAGGAAATGTCCCCATTAGATTTATCGGTGAGTACACTTTGAGTCATTTTCTTGATTAATAATTGTTGTGGGTGAGCTCATTATGTGTAGTGCTGTCTCCGGGCCCATGGTCTTGGACAGCATAATAAAATAAGCTGAGTAAGCCATGGATAATATGCTGGTAAGCAGGACTCCTCCATAGCTTCTGCTTCATTTCTGCCTCCAACTCCGAGTCCTGCTTGAGTTATAGTTCTGGTTGCTTCAGTGATGGACTGTAAAGTAAAACCATAAGACAAAACAAACCCGTTCCTCCCCAAGTTGCTTTCAGTCATGGTGGCGATTCTTGTTTGTTTGCTTGATTTTTGTTTTTTTTTAAATCACAACAATAGAAAGATACACACCCACACATTTCCACACATAGATTTTTTCATTGAAAAAAGTACTTTAGAAAATTAAATCTTTTTTCTGTTTTTGTAAAAATTATTTTTACAGCTCAATCCCAATTCTCCCGCCCTCCTCTCCTCCCACTCACTCCACTACTCCCAATCCACCAATCTGCTCCACTGAGATGGTAAGGCCTTCCCTAGGAAGTCTACTAAGTCTGTCCCATCATCTCAGTGAGGCAGGACTAAGGTTCCTCTAAACTACATACCCTTGTATCTAAGCTGGGCAAGGTTATCTCTCCATATAGAATGGACTCCACTGTCAGTTTGTGCATTAGTGTTAACTCTTGCACCCACTGGCACTGGCCTCATATATTGCCCCAGTCATACCATCGTCAGCTATATTAAAGGAGTCTAGTTTGGTCTTATGCAGGTTCCCCATTTGTCAGACCTGAGTCAGTGATCTCTCACTAGCTCAGGTCAGTTAATTCTGTGGGTTTCTCCATCATGGTTTTGACTCCTGTCTTCATATTATCTCTCCTCCCTCACGTTCATTGGTGGTGGCTTTCTGCATCTCCTTCCTTTTGCTTCTGCAAGAGGGTGCAAGATTTACAGCTTCGGGGATGCTCCTCCCATTGGAGGTATAGATGGGGCTGAGTCAATGTAACAGCGGGGTATCTCCCACCAAGACAAGGTAGTGGATGCTGGCTGGGACACACAGGTGCTCTTTCCCAGAGAGAGATTTCACAATAGTTTCTGGAAGCTACTGCTGGAAAGCACTGTTTTTGCTTCATCTGGTGATCACGCCTCGCTCCACTGATCCAGGCCTAAAGCTTGGGCCTTCCTCTGATGCAGGTTCTAGGCTCTCATGCTGCTCCCAGGTCTGAGGCTCGTGGCTCCCTTGACACTGTTCTGGGCCTGAAGCTTGGCCCTTTCTCTGAAGCTGCTACTGGGCTGGCTAGAAAATTTAATCTTAAGAAGAAAGGTGTGTGTGTGTGTGTGTGTGTGTGTGTGTGTGTGTGTCTGTGTGTCTGTGTGTCTGTGTGTGTGT